TAGGTTAAATCCCTATTTTGGTCCCTAAACTATTGTACAGACCTCCGATTTGATCCCTGAACTAAAGAAATCCTTAATTTGGTCCTTGAACTATTGTACGGACCCATGAGTTGGTCCCTAAACTGTTGTACGGACCTCGAGTTAGTCCATAAACTATTGTACGGATCCCTAATTTGGTCCCTACTGTTTATCAATTTAGCCCCAACTTGGTCCTTTTATTAAATAATAGTTTAGGGACCGAATTGGGGTGAAATAGTAAACAGTAAGGACCAAATTGGAGGTTTGTACAATAGTTTAAGGACCAACTCAGGCCAAATTATAAACAATGGGGACCAAATCAGGGTCCATGCAATAGTTTATGGACCAAATCAGGGATTTCTTTAGTTCAAGGACCAAATCAGGGGTCCATACAATAGTTTAAGGACCAAAATGAAAATTTAATCTTTTTTCTATCCATGCCTTGCACGGGTTATACTTTAGCTTTTTATATTAGAGTTTGAATTTTATATTATATTTTATCAACTATAAAATTTTATTATAATTTTTTAGTTAAAAAATTTTAATTACGTTTGATAATTAATAAGAATATTTTTCAAAGTTATAATTAACAAAAATTTTATATTTATATTTTGTGATTTTCTTTTGTAATTATTTTTATGGTAAAATTATTTTATAAATAGGAGTATCTCTTGTACTCTATTTAAATTTAAAAAAAAATGATGTTAAAATGATAAAGTTATTTTAAAGAAATATAAGTTGTATTTGTTAATTAGATTAGAGGACAAAAGTGTTAAAATTGTTTACATTATATATTGAAAATATGTTTTTAATCCATATTGCACCAAAATATACTTTTTGTCTTAAGGTAATTTTGTATTTTTATAACTTAAACTGTACTTTTTGTGTTTTTCATTGTAAAAAACTACTATATATTATAAATTGGAGTTTTAAATTTTTTTTAAATGATTAAAGTTTGAGATGATTTCGATTTTATAGTATTAAATCTTTATCATTTTTGTTTTATCTATATTTTTCTTAGTTTTTAGTGATTCATCCTAAGCATAGACCAATTTTAGTTATAATAGTCCTTTTTATTTTACTAAAATTTGAAATCTTATTATTTATTTATTTGATTACATCATGTTGCTTAAAATTGTTAGTTTTGTAGTCTCATTTAGATTAATCCTATTAGTTTTATTTTAGTTTTTTTTCTACGTATAAACATTTTATATGTTATTTGAGTTTTTTCAGTGTTCCTATGTTATTAATTATTAATATTATAATAAATGAATAATTGTCATTTGTATCATGTTACCTTTTTATCTTCAACAACAAATCATGATTTAATAATTACAATTGAGATTATATGTTTCACTAAACCATAATATAATAATTGTAATTGAATTAAGACATTTTTGTTCATATAGACCTTTTGTTTGGTACTTTTATTTTTAAATTAAGTAATAATAGTAATATTAAAAAAGAAAACAATAATAATAATAATAGAGATTAGTGCGTATTAGCCCTAACTCTCAAAAACAATTAAAGTCTTAGCTTATATTTGGAAAATGAAATCTCATCCTATTAATTATTAATATCTAGATTTGAAAATCCATTATATATTCTAAT